GGCGACAAAAGTGTGCCAAGTCGTGGATGCCAATTAAACAAGCTCCTAATGAGCGAGCCAGGGGGGGGGGGGGGGGGGGCAGGTGAGGAGGCGGGAAGCCTGGAGCTGACCACGTGTGACAAATTGACGCTTTTTAATTTCGCCAGATCCAGCGAGCACTTTAAACGTAAAGCGCCACACGAAACGAAACACGCGTATAACGAATCGAGGAATCGCGAATCACGCATACGCCGCGTTGTCCCATTTTGTAAATGGCTTCCAGGCTGCCAGCTTGTCAACTGATACTGATTGACGACGTCGTTCGGATACTCTGCCTGTTGCTGCTGCTGCTGCTGCTTAAAAAGGTGTTTGCATTTTGAATGCAGCAAATGTCGCCTTGATTAATTGCCTCGCAACTGCTCCAAGAGAGAGGGGGAGAGAGCCGGACTCTGTCTGCGACTGTGACTCTACTTTATTTAACAAATGATGTGCATGCCTTGTGCGCTGATAATATGGCAGCCCCTCTTTTCTGTGCCCAGTTCCTGGCGCTCCAGAGCTCGAGCTGGAGCTGAAGCTCGGACTGCGCCGCGTCTCGTGTCTGGCGAACCAATCAAAATGTTAATGACACTCTCAATACAGTTATCGTCAGTTTCGTGGACTGGGCGGGGAGCAAGGGGCGGGATATGCTGGATACTGCTGGCCACTTGACCGAGCCTTTTAACATTGCTGTCATAGCTCTTGCCCGCATACCCTGCCATAGGGTACTTTACCATACGGGTATCATTTGCTCTATCATTTAATCGAGTGGGACTCTAAGCTTGGCAATTGTAATATAAAATATAAAAAAAAAATAGGATATTAATAATTGATCAGAGTCGAGAATCATATCAGTTTGAAGAATCATATCAGAATATATATCAGTTTGCTGCAGACAGTATATAGATGAGTCGAGCTCAGGCGAATCGTATGACTATAAAATATAGCAATTAGTTTAATAAAAAAATGAATTGTTTTAATATAAACTGTTTTCGTTTTTCAAGATAGACCAACGCCACTTAACAATTAGAAGCTTTACTTAGTTTCTCTCATATCTACAACTTTTACTACTTTTCAAATAGAAACAAGTATTGTAAATCTTTAATATTTTCTCTGCAAGGGTATTTGCACTTCGGCACCTCGAGCCTTGCAGTTCTTTCTTGTTTTCGTTTCTGGCTGTTGTCATTGGAGTCACATCCAGTTCCCCTTCTTCCTCCCCTTCCCCTTAGCCTTCTCCTTGCCCTTCCGCGTCGACCTCGTCGTCGTCTCTGTTAAGTTGTCATTTCCATTATGACCATGTCGCTTTAGCATTTAACAAATAGTTGAGACATTTACAAGCATCGATAAGCGTCGCAGCCGCGGCACCTGGGGCAATCCCCTTCCCCCTTCTACATCCCCCTGAGAGAAAAAGAGGCTTGAAATGCAGCCAGCGAGCGATTTGTGTTAATGTGCTTAGATTTCGGGCTTTGCCGTCGACTAATTTATGTCGCTTTTAAATGGCCAGGCAAAGTTTTTAATATTCATACGGCATTTGTCCGCCGGACTGTCGCACACATTAATCAACAGCAAGCAGCATCCATAAGGCCCATAAATAACCAAATCCAAATCGAAATCCAAAATCCATCACTGGCCAAGGCAATGGCGACGGCGGCCCACACACAATAGGCAAACACTCACGACCTGGCCATAATAATTGGCTGGCGCATTTGACATGCCAACACGATAATATGACAGACAAGTCAAGAACATTTCAAAGACAGCAACAGCAACAACAACAACAACAACAAAAACAAACTGATGGAAGAAGGGCCTGAGACACCGGATATGCCCGATGGGAGAATGGGAGGATGGGAATGTGGCTTGAGGTTGAGCGCGTGTTTTCTTTTTAGCTCGTGACACGAAAAAAAAAAATACCACTATTTTAAATAACGTGAATCTAACATACAAAATATTACCAATAACAATACCGAAACGATGGCTAGAAACGATTATTCAGCCGATTTTTCAAAGTTGTCAGTAGAGCGAAAAGTACTCTTAATTATGTAAGTTTTATTATATTAAGAGTAAATATTAAAAAGAGAAAAGAAAACAAAGAAAATTGTTATATAAAATAAAGAAGAAACACAATGATCAGGCTATCTTGACAAACAATAAAGTTTGCTATGCAAGAACTAAATTTTCGGGCGATCCTTCCTATATAGATAGTCCTGTGCAGAGTATTATGTCGAAAGACAGAGAGAGAGAGAGAGAGAGGGAGAGAGAGACCGAGAGAGAAAGACAGAGAGAGAGAGAAAGAAGTTTACATAAAAACAGATAGACGGATATGGATACATGGAAGCGACAGTTCACACTGATTGTATATATATATATATATATATATATATATATATATATATATATATAAGGGGTTAAAGATGTCTTTTTCTAGGCGTTACACACTTTATGGCTAATTTATAAATCTCCCTTTAAGACTTTATCTTTTGACTCTAATCTGACATATATCTACAAGCCTTTACATATGAGAATTTTTAACTAAACTCTGAAGAAAGTGTCATAGTTTTGGATAATTATAAGTATTATTTTTAAAATTATTCATTTCTGGACTAGCTTTTCGTGCTCCTGTCAAGTCGTGCTGAATACAAGAAGGGGCGCCCATCTCTAGCTCGGCTGCGCTTGGCTGGCGTCTAACCAAGTTGACGTTAAAGTTGACGAGAGTGTTGACAACAGGGAAAATTATCAATTGATAATGCAGCAAATTGTGAACAGAGCATTAAAAACATATCGAAGAGAGTTTGGTTAATTTATCCAAAGATATGAGAGAGGGTGAGGAAGTGCAGGAGAGTGGAAAGGAAAGGGAGAGGAAGAGCCAATTGGTGGGCGGCATTGTTTATAGGGCTAATAACAAGCCGAGAGATGGTTTGTAACAATTTGAAATCGATTTGTCAGAGAGCGGGTGAGCAAGAGAGAGATCGAGAGAGGGAAAGAGAGGGAGGACCGAGCATATGGCTGGACGTATATTACTTTTTGCTGGCATCTTCTCATTAGAACGAGCATAAATCATTCTAGCTGATCGTTTCCCTGAATCCAACGACAGTGAGAGGGGTTAGAGAGAGAGGGAGTTTGTGTGAGAGAGAGAGAGAAAGAGAGAGGGCAAATTGAGCCGCAGGCAATCAGCAAAAACACTTCCGATGGCCCAACGAGCCGCTTTCAACTGCCATCTTTGAGCTGATGCAACACGTACGTGAAGCAAAACCTTTGCGTAATTTGCACGAAAACGTTTTGTTTGAAATTGAAATTGGTTTTCTCCTCTTGCCAGACAATTTAACCGCAAATCGAGTAAAACGCGCAAAACGATAGGCCCAGCCCCGGCCCCGGCCTGAGACTCTGAGAACTCGCGAGCAACAAAAAACGAAATAGAAGGGTTGTCTTAGGCACGCTGAATATTTTATACCCTTGCAGACCTAACCTTATCATAAGCACAAGGAATGTGGTTAATGCCTAGTCCATATAACAACTTAATTTTCGACCGATCGTTCCCATGGCAGCTAAATGATATAGTTGTCCGATGTAAGTAAGACTTAGCTTAAGTGTAGGGTACATAGTGAAACTTTTAAATGCCGTGTTTGGTCAATAAATCTCGATAAACAAAAAACTTTTTTATTCAAGAACTGACTTTCCGACCGATCGGTTCTATGGCAGCTAAATGATATAGCAGTCCGATCCTGCCGGTTCCGACATCTTCACTCCATGGAAACAGAAAGGCGGACCTTTTTATGAAGAGAAGAAAAAAGGGATACCTATAAATCCCAAGAATATATATACTTTATGAGGTCGGAGATGTCTCCTTTTATGCGTTACACATTTCACGGCAAGATTCTGTTACCCTTTGCAAGGGTATAAAAAAGATTAATTCGAGCAAATGTTAAACTTTTGTGTACGATTTAGCATACCCTACAATGGAGACGAACTATATAATTGGACACGCCGCATCAGGCAGGCACGTTTCGTATTAACAAAATCAGCCAGAGCGAGAGAGCGAGAGAGAGACAAAGAGAGAGAGAAAGAGAGGGGGGAGAGGGCGAGGAGGCGTAGCGGTCAAATGCATGCAATTGGCTATAAAAATGGATGGCAAATGGAACGTTTGCAGTTGGATTTGCATTCGCCGCGAATCAATTGCAAATGGCCATCCAACTGCACTTCATCATCATCTATACAAATGATCATTATCAAGATCATTATCAAGCAATTGCTGGTAGATTGTCTAGCAGGAGAGGGAGAAAAAAATAAAGCTCTTTTGTGTCGTTGTTGATGAAAACGATTTTAAATTATTTTTATATCAATTGCGAAAATGATATTATTGCTCCGACTCGGATCGGGCTTTTGCATCGACTTCCATTTGCGGCTGCCGCATGGCTAAAACAATTTTTTGCGCTTTTTCTGTTTTATTGCTACTCCATTAAAATTGAATTGACTTTTTGTTGTTGTCGTGTTTGTTGCTGGCATATTGCCTGTTAATGTTGAAAATATAATAATGGCCATTACGGGCAAAACAGAAACGATTGTGCGATTGATGTTAAATTAAAAATTATTGATTATGCAGCAGACACCAGCCGCAAAATGTTAGCGATTCGCGATTCAGATTCAGAAAATATTTTAATTGAAAAATTTACATTAAATAAAATCGATTGATTGAAAAATTATTCGAGATTGTCATTTCAAACATAATAGCTTAAATAATTCTATGAGTTACACACTTCGTGACAAAATTAAGGTACCTTCTGCAAGGATAGAAAGTTTTCTTAAAAAATTATCTAAAATATAAATTTTACTTAATTTGGAAAATTTACTATACATAAATTCGACTTATGTGCCTATTCAAGAAATTCTAGATTATCATTTCAAAAATTATAGCTGTAATTATTCTCTGTGTTACGCATCTCATTACATAATTGTAATACTGTCAGCAAGGGTATAGATGGACTTACCTTTGTTTTTTTGCAGGTTTCGGAATTCAAAAATTAACGTAAATAGTTAACAATTCGTTACAATATATAGTGGCACAAGCAGTGCAGAACAATGTAGTTTTCCAAGCAGTTCATATGCCTATTCGGTTCCCTCTTCAGTGAACAGGTGGCGCTACGTTTTGGTTCGCGTCTTCACTGTGCCGTTCGAGTGCACACTTAACGAAATTCATTGCAGTCAACGACACTTCACAGAACATATGAAAAATGTACAAAGCGATGTTTTTCTGATGTGTGCGTAAGCTTTGTGCGCCTGACACTAGAGTGCGCTCTTCATGATCCGAAGCTAAACCAGGAAACGGCCCTGTTGAATAGAGGAAAAGTTAAAATTAAATAATAGGCAAATTAATTAATACCCTATCATAACTAGTTCTCAGAAGGATATATTAAAAAATATCTTAAATTTAGTTTTTAGAATTTGCATGCATATTTTATTGTGTTAAAAAAAAATATAACAAATATATGCAAATATAAATAAAAACAGCAACCCGAAGATAAAATACGCTAACAGACAACTAGCATGTTAAACATGGACATGGCTAAATAACAAAATATTTATATATCCGCAGATGTCCCCTTTTATGCTTTACAAATAGCATCACACAATTACCATGCCCTGCCCATGATTGCACTTCCAGAAAGAGGAAGAGATAAGTCCTGATGAGATTTGACAGTCAAAGTCTCAGAGCTATTGCCCAAAAACAAATTGCCTTTAAATGTATAGGGTATTTAAATTTGTTATAGTGTGCATTTTTAATTAATTTATTTAAATTTATAGGGGATTTTTTGACAAACTCAAAGGGCACACGAAATTCGGATTTACACTTTTGTTTCCACAGTTGCAGAATAAAAACAAATACGCTACAGTCAAGCCTCATTAATAGCCGCCAGTTGAACATGGTCGCCCGCCCGGCTGCAGCGCATTCTCTGCGGTTCCTGTTCCCGCTCCCGCTGCTGCTCCAGATTTCCCTGCTTGCGATGTTTTCGACTTTTCTTGTGATTGTCTTAAATTAGGCGATGTCAATGAAGGCTGCTGCCCTGCCCCAGCTTACCCCTAGCCCACCCGCAACCAGCTCATTCTCTGGCAAATTGTGCGGTAATTGAAGTGGAACAGTAAATGCGGTTGGCGTCGACGCCGACAGCGACAGCGACGCGGGCAGAGAAACACTCATACGCACCGTTGCTGCTGATGAAGGGAAATGATAATTACAGCAACACACACACACACACACACACACACGCACTCAGACAGGCGCAATTTTTGTGGAAAAACGTACATAAATAGCAAGAATCTCATTAAAAAATCTACGGCAACGGGCCTTAATGAGCGCTTACAGCAAAAAGCCAGCCCCCCACCCTGTCTTCCCACTCCCCCTCCCCACCCCTTCACTATTCACTCTCCGTTTTTACACAGTCCAACAAAATGTAATTATATCGCATTATTTGTCATTTCGAGCAAATGAATTGAAACAAATTTAGTGTGACAAATGAATTGTTTATATGCGCGTAGACGCACACACACACACTCATACGCACACACACACACGCACACTCACACACACACACACACATATATAGGTACATGTGGTTACAGTCAATTTGCTGTTTTTGCTTTCTAGCCAATTTGATTTGATTTGAATGCGTGCCTCGCATTAGAACTTGGCATGCTCGTATCTCTTGGCCATCGGCCTTTTTTTTTTTGTTTGTTTGTGCTTTTGGCTTCTGGCTTTTGGCTAATTCAAGTTTATGAGCCATGTCTAATTACCAAATGAATTGTGCAATTATATATTTTTGTTTATTAATTGGCTGCCTCACTAATGAGCCCCAATGCACTAAAAATGTGAGATGCGCTGCGTTGCGAGTCAGCTTTTGAATGACTAACCGATTGGCTAACCGATTGAATGATTGACTGACTGACTAACCGATTGACTGACTGACTGGCGACATAAATGTGTTGAGTTATGACGTCTTGTGGTTTTCGGGGTCACATCATCCAGAGCCCATCGATTCATATACATATATTTTTTCTGGAGAAGACTCGTCGCATCGTCGCCTCGTCGCCAATTGCCATCGGTGGATGGATGCGGTTTTGCGTCCGTAACGAGCGTTTTGGCCTACAATGTTGCCAACGCCAGCGGAAGCAGCCACCGCAAAGAGCCATTTATGCAAAGTGCTCAAGCATTTAATGCTGGTCCTCCTCGCTCCTCTGCTCCTCTGCTCTGCGCTCATTGTGCAACTCATTAGCACTTATTAAAATTAAGTGCAGTCAAAGGGCTGCGCTGGGCAGACCCCAGCTACACTCAGCGAAAAATATAAGCCAATCTAAATTCGAGCATTAGAATTCATGACGTCTTTCTTTCTTCAAATTATCAACTACGATCTTCTACGATCTTCCTTTAAGTCGTCGTTTTATAATTTTAATGCTAGACTATTAAATAAATACTAAGTGCTTCTAATAAGAATTTACATGCTTGGAAAAACTATAAACTATAAAACATTACAAGCTTGTAATAAAAATGTAATATACTTAAATATTATAATAATGATTTATAAGTTTAAAAAATGCGTTAGAAAATAATATAATAATTTCAAAATTAAACTATTTGTGCCCCATCTATATATATATATATATATAATTATTATTATTATTTAATTCGATTCAGACTTAAGTTCGTTTGTTCTTTGTCCAACTAATATGTATTCATATGTTCAGCAACAAATTGGAATCAAATGAAAGCTTTGCTTAAGATACTTTAATTTAGATGCATGAAATTTGTTGATTTTTTCGCTGCGTGTATTTTAGTAGCTGGCGGAAATGATGGGCCTAGATTTGTGAGTTGCGGGCTTGGCCCGGGCCCTGGGTGCAACATCAACAGCCGGTCGCAGTCGCAGTCGCGGTTGCAGTCGCAGTCGCAGTCGACGTCGACAGCAGCTGCTGCTGCTGCGTCAGTTGTAATCAACATTTCAGCAATTGTCAGTTGCAGTTGCAGTTGTTGTGGTTGATATGCTAGTTGTTTGTTTTTGATGTTGTTGTTGTTGTAGTTGTTTGTTGTTTGTTGTTGCTGTTGTTGTTGTTGCAAGTGTGCAGTGGCGCGTGTCGCTGGTTGTATTAAAAAAGGCAAACCGAGTAACAGAAAAGGAAACAGAAACAGAAACGAAATGCGCCTCAAAAAATGGCGTCCAATTAATGTTGGCTGCCATGTTTGTTTTGTTGTTGCCATTGCTGTTGTCTGTTGTTGTTGCTGTCTGTTGCCGGGCAATAAAACATTTCATTTATTAGCCTGAGGCGTGCCCCAGGCCCAAGAGTTGTTTGTGCATTCGCCGCATTCGTAATTCGACTGTAAGTTTCATTGATTTTAGCGGCTCCAAAAATTGTTGTTTGTTTGTTTGTTTTTTTTTTTCTGGTCGTGTCAGTTGGCCGTTAGCTTAATGCGCCCAGCTGTGCCACGCCCCGCGCGCAGCGAGCAGTTCGCACGTTCGCAGGCCAAAGGCGAAGGCGAAGGCGAAGCCAAAGGATGCGGCCAAAAGGCAAACAAATTAAAACAAATTGGTCAACACAATATTTCATTATAAAAGCAATAGCAAGAACAACAACAAGAACAACTCGAGGAATTATCATCACATTAGGCGCAGCTGCTGGCGCCGTGTCTCGATTATCCTTTCGGGTCCAATCCTTTTGCATACGTGCCGCACCTGTTGTCATGGTTAATCGACAGCCGCAGATCGCAGATCTCATCGCTCCTGCTCCTAAATGTTGCCCGGCCATGCGATGGATATCGCTCTCTAATGGCGTCCCTGGCCATTAATGCTTGAGCTGCTCGAATTGGACACGGCCAAAGGGTGCATGTTAAGTGCCTGCCACAGCCACTGCGGCACGGAGTAGGTGTGAATTTTGCTGTTGCAGCCAAGTTGTTGCCACAAAGTGTTGGCCCGTTGCATAATTATATGCAATTTATATGCAGGCTGGACAGGGACTTGGTACGGCTTCCAAGGAAGCGGCTACCGAGTTACCTGCCCGGGCAGGTCAAGGGTCAAATGCATTTTTTTCGCTGAATGAATGCTGCACGGATGGCCCTGTGTGAGTGGGCGTGAACGGTGCGTGCGAGCTGCAGCTGCCTGTCTGCTTTATGTTACATGTTGAGCGCGCGTTTTAAAACGCGCTCAAAACGCGCGCGTGCTTTGTGCTCGCAAACTTGGCCATAACTCGCTTAATTAGCAGTCAATATCACGCACTTCATATTGTCCAATTAATTTAGCATACGACTACGGCTAACTACGGCAGTTGCTGCACTTGCTGCACTTGCTGCCGGCAATTACCTCAACTGCAACATCAGCCGGAGCCCGAGACAGGGCGGACATGCAAAACAAAAATCAGCATATTGCATGTTCGCTCCGCAGTACGTGCCCCCAGCCCCGCCCCCTAACAACCCCTGGGCGCCTAATGACAGAGCCTGCCGCAGCCTGGCGCAGCAAAACGTCAAAACGTCAAGCATCTATTAGCCCGATTCTGTTTATAAATATATACATATATTTTTTATGGCATGCATCGTTGTCGTTTGTCTGGATTCAACGCCTTGTCCTGGTCCTCTTTACTTTGGAATGTCCTGTGCCCTAGGAAAGTGGCGCAAACATGGGGTATATTGCAGCTGGGTGAATGTGTGTTACGTTAGAGCTGCAAAACAATCGATTGGCCTATCGATTATATCGATAATATCGGCTTTTAAAAACTATCGATTGTTTGGATTTGGATTTGGAGCAAAGGAAAGCGACAAGTGAAATAGTTGTAAACGGACTTTGTTAAGCATATACATATTTTTTTATTTATTTATCTGATATCTCTCAGACGTTGGAAGATTGAGAATGTAGGCACATATTTTCTTTTTATTTTCCGATAAACGATTAATATCGATAACCTGATAAAGCTTTCTTGAATATTGCAAACAAAATCGAGGATTCAAAGAGTCAGCACCATGAACTTTGGTATGCTCACTCATTTGAATGACAAATTATAATCTAAAAATTTTTATAAATAATCGGAGGACACAGATCTCAGTTACTTAAGACTACATTTGTCATGGTATAGGGTTAAGGGTTAGAAGAGGCACAGCCGCTTTGTGTGAGTGTCTTTCCTTATATATATTAAGATGCATACGTATTTCAATTGCTAATTACAGGGCATTCGCTAGTCGAGCACGCTCAGACATTCGCATGCCCTCCGCTATTTGAAATCAGGTAACAAAGTCTGGGCCCAGCCTCGAGTTTGTTTGTTCGTTAACATTTTCTACATGCAAATGCCGCAGCTGA